CACTTTTTTTATTTACATATGCTCTATGCCTGATACTAAGCACATTTCCCCATACATGTAGCACACCTAAAACTATATTTTCTATTATCCAAGGTCTGTCTGAAAACTAACAGCACTGGGTGTGGTGTGTAAGCTCTGGGTGAAAGAGGGATGGGCAGATTGTTTTATCATCTAATATGATATCTTCGAAGTATGTAACTCTAATCTTAGCTCTCTGTAACCATTGCATTTTTTTTTTCACATGATTTTGTAGCAGGACAAATCATGCCTGCTTTACCATGACAATACACCTGCTCACAATGCCCTGAGCATCCAGCAGTTTCTGGCTGAGAACATCACTGTACTGGAACACCCTTTCTATTCACCTCATCTTACTCCATGTGACTTTTTTCTTTTTCCCAAGCTCAAGTGGATCGTCAAAGGGACCTGTTTTGAAGGCATGGAAGCCATCAAGAGGACCGTAAAGATGGAGATGAGAGGCATCCAAGAAGAATCCTTCCATCTGCAGTGCAAAGAAGCATGATAGAGAAGGATGGAAAAGTGCATTAGACTCGATGGGGATTACTTTGAAGGGGAAACCATGTTGTCTGGAATTTAAATACATTTTTTGTGACACCATTGCTTTTCAGTCAGACTTCATACATTTCCTACATGTAATCATAAGAGCAGTTCATTGGAGCAAAAATATCATGCATCTAATTTATCTAGAGCTCCTTGTTAAAATCCAAAGAATCAGCAATAATATTAGTCCTGATCTGGCATCTTGGCTATGGTGCCTAGACTCTTTGAATTTAAGCACAATACTAGGCTGGTGATGAGGTCTCATCAATTTACAGTTGAGTTGGCTAGATTTAACCATAAACTCTATACAGTTTCTTTTCTCACACTTCTCACTTGTGGAACTTCCTCTCGGCTCCATGTTTTTTATCCAACTTTAATCTGCAAAAATTTAAATGCAATGTCAATTGTTACATACTGTCCTCCTGATTGGGCACCTCGGCGTGGTGTAATGGTTAGCAAGCTTGTCTTGTTAGATCAGTCACTACTGAAAAGTGAGTTCGATCCTCACTGGATGCCCCATACTTTCAGTCTTGTGCCACATCTAAGCTACGTTTGGAAAATCTCTACTGTCGTCCTGATTACTCTTCTTTTGTTCTTGCTCCTTAGCAATATTTCTGTTTCTAACTCTTTCACACCCAGAAACACCCCTTCTGTCTCAGATTCAACTGGAATTTGAACTCAAATTCCAGTTGAATGATCACTTATGTGCTAATACCCTTGGGAAAGGTATGAATCCTCTTCTTAACCCCCCCCCCCAGCTATGGGTAAATAGCAGGACAGACCGGGTTCTATAGCCTTGGATGGCAATTGGTCTACCGCAGAAAGAAATGGCAACCTACTGCGAGAAAAAATTTGCCTCGTCAGTCATCTATCAAGATTCATCATCACCTAAGTGTGTATCACGCATGGCACATAATTGAATGTGACAGGATGAGACCCCACCCACCAAAACCTTACGGTCATAAGAGCACATGTACTACCGTTATGCCTATGGCAAGCACATTTCTCTTCAGGTTGGTTTTAAACTCAAGAGTTTTCCTTCTCCTAGACTGGTTGCAACTCAAAGCAAGAGCGTCATAATATTTAACTCATAGGAGGCGAACATAGGGTCATGCCTTTTCAAAGGATATTGCTGCAAAGTGAACAAAACATCATTGACCAGGATTTGAACTTGAGTCGATGATTTCACTTTCCATATTTGTAAACATTACCCTACCTGTGCATGCACTTTGTGGGGGTAAAAAGTTGTTAATTACTTATACAGTCTTTGGAGAATTTGATAACTTGCCTTTTTGCGTATCAAGAATTTCTTACAGCTGCTTTTTGTTTGTTTTTTTTTTCGTTTTTTTTTTTCAATAACTTGCCAAGTGAGGCCAAAATAAAAAGAGAGAGAGTGGGGAAAAATGTTTTTTTTTGGGGGGGAGCAAAACTAAAGAAAAAATAAACAAGTAGCATGTTATCTCAGGGCAAGCTCTGACTTCCACAGGAATATGGAGTAATGCCAGCCAAAAAGTGCCAAGTTACTTGCTACTTAAAACATACTTGAGGTCATAAGTTCTAAGACTAAGAAATCATTTATTGGCTACCAGTGTAGAACCGTGCTAGTGATATGAAGATTATCTGTGCTGAAATTGAATTCAGCATGCCAAGTTCAATTCCTACCAGATTGTTTCATTCACTTCATGCTGATATCTTTGGAAATGACATGAATGCCTTGTCCTCTAGCTACAGGTTAAATAACAAGGCAAACTTAGCTCTCCTGCCTTGAGAGGCAACCAATCTAGAAGGAAAATTGAATTGAAAAGCAGCCTGAAGAGGTATTGTCAGGCTGTCTTACCATAGACACACCAATGCTGTTATGGTTGCAGTACAAGTAGTGTCCCTATGACACATGCCTATAAATGATAGACGTAATACACACTGAATAAAAAAAAAAATTAAAAATCAAATAGAGCGTCTATTTCAAATATGAATATTCACTATAACATTCGAAGTAATAAAAAATGTTTGATTAAAAAGTAAATCACTTCTTTTTTATATATATATATATATATATATATATATATATATATACACACACACACACATATATGTAGGTGTGTGTATATGTACATATATATAAGTGGATATTGAAGTCAGCACCCAGAGGCAACAGTATGTTTCATGCTAAATGCAATTGTCAGGCCATACACTCTACCCCTGATACTGAACACTATAGCAGACCTTAAAACTATATTTTAGCATTATATAATTTTTTTTTCTTTTCTGGGTGTAAATCATATAAAAATTGTCTGAATGCTTTATATGTTCAAATGTTTTTGGCTATACTTTTAGCCATTATCAAGGATGAATTTTATTTTTACTTTTAACTGAATTTATGGATTGTTTATATATGCATCTAGAGGACAAAAAAAAAACAAGAAAATTAAATTATCTATTATAAAAATTTAAAACTGTTAACCTCATTGTCAAAAATCAAAATTCATATGTAAGATCCAAATGACAGAGAACCAACATTATTTACAAATTTACATGTCTCTTAAGGAGTTTTGTTTTTGATCAATCCAAATTCATGAATAATTATACTACATATACTAGAACATGTTTAACTAGAAGACGTGCATTATATCTCTCTGGCCATAGTTCAAATAGGTCTCATTAAATACACATGGACACCTACCAATATATCATGTATACCTTAATATAAATTTGTTTTTCTGGAAATTTAATTTGGATAATTACTTATGCTTATTTCACCCTAATGGCTTGTATTGATGCAAAAGATGATGAGAATAAGAGGAAAAGAACAACTTTGGAGTTATCACAAAAAGTGGAAATTTTAAACAGACCAGACGCTGGTGAAAGTTCATTGCAACCAATGACTGGGGAAAGTCAATATTGTATGATGTAAAATCTTTCAAAGAAACTATTGTCCAGCATTCACATTGTCACAATGAACAAGGAAATAAAAAACATGATGATTGTGATGAAACCTGGATTGAAATTGAAAAAGCTATTGAAAGGTTGTCAGTTTTATGGAAAGAAAGCCAGCATTCAGCTGTGACAATTGCAATAATGCACACAGAGTTAAAAAGTGTCTCTCGTTTAAAAAAAATTCAAGAACAAAAGCAACAACAAAATGAGGAAAAAGTTGAAAATGACATTAAAAGTGAAAGAATCATCATACAACAGCAATTGAAAAAAATCCTTGTTACATTATTTGTTTTACAGATGTGGCAGACTTAATTTAATGAATTTTCATTAACATTACATAATTTCTTTTTCCTTAAAATTTTTTTAATCAATTCCATTATATTTCACTCGCCATTAGCTTATTTTGTTTATTATAAAGCAGTGAAAATAAATGTTAAAACTGATTTCAGTTCTTTCATGTTAATCTAAATATAAGCCCTCATATCTGGACTTTGTAAACAATTCCTCATATCTAGAAGGTCTTCTTAGTACGATTGTCAGGGATTCTACTGTATATACATACACAATCCATAGATTCTGTTAAAAGCAAAAAATATAATTCATTTCTGATGATGGCTAAAAGTATAGTTGAAAGTGCTCAGACATTTTAAAACATTTGGACAATTTTTATATTGTCCAGAAAAGAAAAGATTTATAATGTATGAAAAATTATATAAAAAACTTAACCACAGTACCTTGTCATTTATTTTTAATGAAATTTGCAATCTTTTATTTTGTTCTTAATTGCAAAAAGACCTCAATAAAACTCATTCATTTAAATTTTATCAATTTCTAAAATTTTTCTTTTCTATGACCTATGAAAATGTACAAAATATCCAATGATGCTGTAATCGTACTGAAAAGTCTGGTACCCATAGATGTAGACAATAAGCAAAGGGATCCCCATAAATAGAGGGTTGGTTGTTTTATGTTTAGCAGCCTATCAGAGTCCAGCTGAAATCTTTTAGGCTGGCAGGTCGAACTCTCTGCCTCTGAGCAGAGAGGAACCCAGACGAGGTTATGTCGAAGGGCAGAGCCTTGTTCGGGGAGGTTGACCAACCCGAACCCATTTATGCGGTTTCTATGGGTATTTTTTGGCTTAGCCTATGGCTCAGAGAACCCACGTTAAACCTGGCCTTGTGCCACATGCAACCCTCGTTTGGGAGGGGGGGGGCTGAATATTGCAGCCTCTCAACATCTAAGGGATATTTAATGCTGAAATTTAAATGTTTTGTACAAAATTTTACTTTTGGGGGACAGGGAAATACTAATGGTTTTTGTGGTACAAGCCTCACTAGTTAACCCATAGCTGAGGGGAGAAGTTTTACTAGTTAACACAGAGCTGATGGATTCATACCTTTCCCAAGGGTATTTGCACATAAGTGAATATAACGAACCTAACTGGAACTCGGCTCTCTGAGCAACAACTCTAAGCCATTATCCATTACATCACCTGCACGTCGAAGCTTACGGCACCTGGTATTTTCAAGTAGTCACCCATCTAAGTACTGACCAGGCTCAATGTCGCTTAACTTCAGTGATCATCCAGGAACCTGTGTTTGAACATGATGTGGCTGTAGGCCCATAAAAAAAAGGGCTACATAACAAAAAAGTGAAAAAAACCAGCTGTTGCATTGTAATCATATTAGTAGTACACAACAATTTCTTTGGGAGTTCTCCCATCAAGAAAGATGTTTATATAAATTAAGATATCTGTTAAGAGAAAAGATGCACAGGTAGAATAATGGTTTTCAGCATAGTAAGGAGGCTCACTAACCAGGTCCAAATTCCAGCTTAGCTTGTTGTAGCACAAATGACTTTGGGAAAAGAACAAGTATGTCCCTTCTACCCACTCCAAGCTATAGGTTAAAAATAAGAGTAGATAGATTTGCCTATTGTCCAGTTCACACTCCTCTCTAGTATTTTGAACAGGAGTAGATGTTTATCCCTGGTTTCCTGTTTCTTCTAATGTCTTATTATTCTCTTTCATCCCAAGAAGCCCCTTGCATCTGGTGAATTGATTAAAAAAAAAATAAAAATAAAAAATAAAAAAAGCAGGTTTAACCGGGCTTGCTAGCCTTTGACATCTAAAAGAAGGAAAACTCTGAATTCTAAAGCATGTAGTAAGCAATGAGAAATCACTCCACTATTTTTCTCAAGAAGCCATGGCAGTCCACAGATAATAAAGAAAAGGAATCTGCAGACTGCTATAAGCACTTACATCCTGACAAGACATGGCATTATAAACAGGGAAGAGAGAAAAAAAGAGAATGAATAGAAAAAATAAAAACATGTTCAAATTTAGTGTGATATCCTTTAATAAGATTTAAAGCATGATATCCTTTCAGAGAAAGTATATTTGCCAGCATATGATATACATTTAAATATAAGATAAAGAACAAAATAGGAAATTCTTTATCAATCTCATAAGTTTTACTATTTTTAAAGCTTCTAGTGAAACTGCTGATTGATAAATGTTTCTGATTTGTTCTTCATCTGCTGGATTCTGATTGGTTCTAGGAAGCTTTGCTGTAAACATTTTTGTTGTAGGAAAACTCACCTCAGGAATTTTTGCCATAGAAAAATTCACTGTATAGGACTTTTGCCATAGGACAATTTCACCGCATTTTTTTACTATGCAAAGTACCTTGTTATAACGTGTGTCTGGCTCACACTATTGTTACTTCAATTTAAACATTTTAATAAGCGAAGTTATAGGATCAAAATCCTTCATTACAGTCTAACGCAAAAAACACATTATTTACAAAGCATTGCTTGGAATTTGCACACATTTTAAATTATTTCTTTGTTAATTTGATATATTTTTAGTCTTTTATTTTTTAAATAAATGCGTACTTTTTAATTTCTTTTCTGTTGTTTGGCCCTGTAAAAAAGACATCCATATCTACTTGATAAAAAGGTAATTCACATATTAAATTGAACATTACTCCAAGAGGGATGTTCAAAATAAGGGTATTGAAAAAAAAAAATGCATCAAAATTGTCTTATGGCAAAAATTCCTGAGGCAAGTTCTCCTATGGCAAAAATGTTTATGGTAAATGTTCCGGATAAGATTCTGATTTGTATTTGACCCCAATTCATTTAAATCTGTCCTGGTCATGACAATAGACTACATCTGGCAGCAAGACTCAGGGTGGTAGCATCTGTTAGTTAAACTGGGGTCTAAACACTATGAAAGTATAAAAATACATTTTTATTTTGGCATTAAATGACCCATAGGTTGTTGATATGCCACTAAACAAACATACAAATTCATTTCAATATAAACCAAAAAAAAGAAAAAAAAAAAGAAAGAGAGATGCAAACATCAAGCCCCCAATACACTGGGACTATAGAATTTAAAAATGTTTTGTGTATATTTTATGCATGTGCATGTTCACATATGATAAATTAAAGAAGAAACAACCAAAAAATGGCTTCTACTATTGACAGGACCGTTTATTCTTTTTTATAGAAACTGTAGTGAAACAAAGTTCTCAAAGTCTTTTGGGTATGCTTGCTTGCTTTCTTCTGGTCAGAAGTAGGTTAGAGTAAGTAAGGATAAGAATGGTTAAAATATTTGAGCTCAACTCAGCCTTGCACCAAGTTGGAACGACCAAAATACTTACTTCATGAGTTGGGCAGCAAGGCACGTCCAAATGCTGGCATTGTAAAGTGAAAAAAAAAAAGTTTTTCTCCTTTCTGGAAGTGGGGTCATAAAATCGTGCAGATGATAAAAAATCATTTCCTGTTCCTTTATTACTATAATAATAGCTGACCATTTGTAGTCGAGGATACCCGTTTAATAGGGCTGCTAGCCAATCCCTATTGCAGACACTTGCTCAGGCACACTTACGTTTGCTCAACACCCACAGAGCCCACTTGTGGTTTATACTGCAACTATGCTGAGCAAACCTTAGTTTCTAGGAGAGAGTGTGTTATCTAGCGTGATCAACAATTTGAACAAGGCCAGCACACTCAAACCCTCAACCACGATGACTTGTGCTAGGACAGCTATTAACAGCCCTCAAGAGTTCTGTCTACCCAATTTCCCTCAGAAGGCTTGGGTCAATTCTGGGTATAGTTTTTAGGCACTTTCCAAAGGTGTCGCATGCTGGAATCAACCTTGATCCATTCTAGTAGCTTCAGGAATCTCTTTCCTGACAAATCGACTATGGTCAGATTTAAACCCTGGTTTCATGGTTAGAAAGCAAACATTCTAACCACTTGACCATGTGCCCATAGTCTTTTATTACTAGCATTGTGGAAAAATTGTTTTTGCTTTTTTATTCTTTAATAGTATTTCATTTAATTTTATTTCCTTTTCCCATAGTACGATCTCCCAATGTTCAAAATGAACAGCAATGAGTCTTGGATAAGTTGCAATGGACATTATTCCTCAAAATAGTTTTGTAAATCAGGTGCTGTAAATAGCATTCATGCTAACCAAATTCATTCAAAGTTTTGTCTGCTTTTTTTCCATTACTTTTATAGCTGATTTTTACCTACAAAGATTCAGCTTGCAGATTCATTTTTTTTCACAAGAACCTTTGTAGTGAAAAGAAACAAAGGGTATATAAATGCAAATTACTTACCTCTTCAACAATTGGAGTAGCTAGCAAGACAATGTCTGCTACAAAACTATATTCGGTAATCACAGATATGTTATCGTAATTTCTGGAAAAGAAAATTGAAATGGCATCAGTTGTTATTCTTTCTCTATTGTTATTTTCATCTATAAATAACCAAAAAGTTTTATCAGCTTTCAAAAAACAGCAATTTATATTACCATATTTTCTAGCTTACAAGACACTGTGGTTTGGAAGATGCACCCTAATATTGGAAAGAAATTTCTAAGAAAAAAAGAAAAGAAAAAGAAGTTATTCTCATACAACACATTCACCATATGTCCCCTCACATACTGGCACCATGTATTGTTTACATTAATCACTCGTCTGATTTTGTTTATATGACAATGACATACTAGTCAAGTGCAGAAATGCTAGTAAATAGAGCAGGTTTAAGCTTGTGGCTCGGCTCCAGGAAGGTTTATAGTCTTGGAAATACATGTAACAGCTAAAGTACTGGGGTTATGAATTCAAGCACCCTCCTAGGCTGGCATCCTGCTCTCACCCTTTCACTATTGAAACTACTAAATGTAGCCGTCTCTTCTACTCCAATAGCTTCATATCTCACACCTCTCACCTGTGAAACTCCCTTCCCTATTTTCTTGAGAGCTATAATCTCTAACTATTCAAATGTCAATCGACATCTCCAGTTGCCTTGATCTATCCACTATCCTTCTCCTCATCCTTTCCTCTATCACTCCTATCTGATCTTGCTCCAAATCTTCTGTAACCACTTGCATCCTAGTGGCTTCCGTGCTTGGGGTGAAATGCATAAAAAATAAAATCAGAAAAAAAATAAAAGGCTGAATTAGATATATAGCTAACATTATAGAGTAATGTCTTAACATACAAATCCACGTCCATATCAGTCAAGCCAATTAGTTGACCATCCAAGTTTACTTGAGCCTGGGCATTGTCTTCCAAGATGAATGTAAGACAATGCCCAGGCTCAAGTCTTAGTCATGGAAGACACATATGTATTTTTCAGGGTACTTTTTAAGAAAAAAAAAGTGCATCTTGTAAGCTGGAAAATATGGTAATTCCCAAACAGCATACAGAAGAGTATACACTATTTACATTATTCGGACTATTGTCCTCATCTTTGTCGCCATATTTATTACAACGTTTCGGCCATTGTATGCTCCAGCCTTCTTCAGGTGGTTGGAATGTCAAACTGGACCCTTTATTTCACTCATTGGGGTAGACTGTTCTAGTTCATGTGCCATGTTTAATGGATGTCAGTTATCTCCTGTTAATTCCCCTCTCCAAGTTCTCCACTGCCATAACCAGGTATTGAACTCACACTCTTTGGGTCCTGTCACTGGATTTAACCACCACATATGCTAGGCCACAAAAATCTCCTGAGCTGACCAAGCATAGAAATGAATACAATATGGGAACCAGTAATAAGGAGTGCCAGAGAAAAGCAATAATAACAACAAAATTTGCAATATGAGCTCTGGTAAAAACATGAAATGATAACAGCAAAATTTGCAATATGAGCACTGGTAAAAAATGGTCGCTGATGACATTAGGTTTATAATACCCTGAAATTCATATACAGATGTCCTCAAGGATACATGGCACAGTGAATAAAGGCATTGGTTGACAAAGATGAGGACAATAGTCCCAATAATGTAAATAGTGTATACATATCTCACCTCAGAAATATAGACAGATACTGACCGATAATAGTAATGAGTGAAATCAACATGGCAGTCTAAAGTTTGTGAGAGTTTGTTTACTGCATAAATTTAACTCTGAATAAAAACAGCAGAAGCAGCACATAAAATATGGAGACCATTTAGCAGAGGTGAAGTTAGTGATCCTTCTGCTTAAATATGGCTTAAGAGGATTTTGAATGGAAATGTGTCACTTGAAGACAAGCCTCAAAAGGACACCTCATAAAGCGTTGGTGATGACAAACTGGGAACTTGTATTAAATCTAATCCACTTCAATTATGTCAGATGTTTTTGTAGTGCTTTTCATCATTTATCACATGAAAGTAACTTTGTCACAAAAAAAAAAAAACTTGCGTTTTTTGGCAGGATGTCAAAATCTATAAAGTCTTGAATTTTGCAGGAGGATATTTTATTTACTTGTGCACATTTAGTATTATAGCTGTAGTAAGAGTTAGTACAAATATAAAAAGTTTTTAAAAAAAAAAAAAAAAACATAACTGATTGCCACAAAAAAAAAACCCCACAAGACTTCTATTTACTACTACAGCTGTACATGGGTGGAGAACAAAAGATGAGGACAATAGTCCAAATAATGTAAATAGTGTACATAATACCTCATCTCAGAAATATAGACAGATACTGAAAGGCAGAAACGTTGTAATAAATATGGCAACAAAGATGAGGACAATAGTCTGAATAATATAGATAAATGTACATAATACCTCATCTCAGAAATATAGTTTGATACTGAACAAAAAACGTTGTAATAAATATGGTGACAAAGATGAGGTCAATAGTAAAAAATAATATAAATATTTGTACATAATACCTCATCTCAGAAATATAGATAATGTTCTGTTCTTTTTACATAAACATTCCAACAACCTCAAGAAATCGGAAGTATACAACGGCTAAATGTTGTAATAAAATATTTTGAAAAGATGAGGACAATAGTCCGAATAATATAAATAGTGTACATAATATCTCATCTCAGAAATATAGACAGATACAGAAACAATCTGCAAAATTCTTTCATCTGCCTTCGTATATTTTTTTCAATTTAGGAAGAGGTGGATGACCACCAATTTATTACTAAAAAAATGCATCTCGGTTTCTTTGCACCTTTTGCAGACCCCATATTGAATCTTCATATTGTGAGGTGCACCAATCCCAGCTCTGTATGCAGTCTTCTATTTGCTGATCAGCATGGCTATTTGTCCAATCTTGAAAATTAAACACTAGTCAGCCAAACAGGCCATTGTAACTAATAAATCACCAAGACAAAAATCTAAACTTTCAAAATATCTATGACTCAAAGCCAATCGAAGTAATGTGTACTTTATAACAACCAACATTGGTCTGAAGGTATGAATTTAATAGTGTTGAGTTGCCTTCTCACTAAGTAGGTTGGTGGTGAGTTGTCATGGAGATGAGTTGGCCGGTGTTGAGTTGCCAGTGAAAAAATATCCCATCCTATCTACATATTGTTTATAAAACCAGCAGTCAATGCCTGAAGATGGCCAACTGGTAATGGGATGCTGTGTCACCTCATCAGAGGTAAAGAAAATGCTTGACAAATATAGTATGAATTTTTCTCTTGGTTACACACTCAGATAGAGTGTTAAATCCCCATGTGGAGATTATTTTGTTGCTTTTTCAAAAATAGGGTCTTTATTTACTTGAACTTTACGACTTTAACCAAAAGATTTTATCCCAGAAAAAACTTTCATATAAAAGAAAGTATTATTTTATTTTCATGAAAATATTTTATGTGCATGCTCATTGTGTTCAATACATACATACTTACATACACACACATATATATATATATATATATATATATATATATATATATATATATATATATATATATATATATATATAGATAATTTTCCAAGCATAGCTTAGATGTGAATTTTAAGCATGTTAACGTTAATCCAACATCATTGCTGCTATTAGTCACTTATAATTCCCGACTTTGATTCATTTCTATGAAACTTAATTTTTCTTCTTGCTTATTTTAAATTGAACAGAGGTCATATCATACAAGGAGGTGGCTTATGCTTAACATCAGGAAGAGGCAGCTGAGGTTTCTGGGACACATAATGAGGAAGGAGGGCCTGGAGAATCTGATACTCAAAGTTCGAATAGAGGGAAAGAGAGACAAGGGAAAACAGCATGTGACATGCCTAGTAGGTAGTGAATGTCGGATGATTGCCTCAAAGACGAAGAAGAGACTCAAGGCAACAGAGATGTGGATCTACAGAAGGATGCTAAGGATATCATGGACCGAGCATGTGAGCAATGATGAGGTCTTAGAGAGGATGCAAACAAGGAGGAGGCTTATGCTTAACATCAGGAAGAGGCAGCTAAAGTTTCTGGGACACATAATGAGGAAAGGGGGCCTGGAGAATCTGATACTCAGAGGTCAAATAGAGAAAAAGAGCGGGAAGGGAAAGCAGTGCATGACATACCTGACAAACTTGAGAAGATAGATGACAGAACGTGGTCTAGGGAAGGAAGCAGAGGGGATGAACTTGTTGAGAGCTGCAATGGATAGAGGGAGGTAGAGAGCCATGATTGCCTACGTCCTGAAAGGACATAGCACATAAAAAGAAAGAGGTTTCGCCTCTGTATTTTTTGCGACAATTATTACAGGGGATTGAGTAAATTCCTCGTTCAAGTTTTAGCTTATTACTTTGTTTAGTATTGACTAAGTCTTTATTGTTCTAGATGTAGTAGACACAAATTTTATGTTGAGTTTAGATTTTTTTTTTGGTTGTAGATCTAATAGAGTTAGTTGGTAGGACAATAAATTTTCTTTTTTAATTCATAAGGAGGAGGGGATGTTTTTCTATTTGGGAATATTTTACGAGCCTTTTGTTTTGCATTGACTATAAAATAATTATAAATATGGCCTGATGATTGCGTTTAAGAATGAAACAGACTGTCACTGCAGGTTGTTGCCTATTGTCATTCCAACAAATTTTTCTGAAGACATGTTGGATGAAAAAGGTCCCTTTTAAATGAATGTGTTCTGCCATTTTCAAAGCCATATTTAAATTCTGTGGTATCAAATTTTTGCTTACATTATATATATATATATATATATATATATATATATATATATATATATATATCAGGTCATCCCATAAGTTCTGTTCAAATTTTACCTTTTTTTAAAATGAACGAAATTTAAAGAGTATTTTATAATGTCTAATGGAGCTGAACATTATTTTTATGTTTAGATGCATTTAAACTGATCAAATTTTATTTCAGAGAACAATAAAATTAAATTTTGTTTGATTAAAACCCTGCTAACATGGAAGTACCCAAGAATTATGAGTTCAAGAAAGGAAACTCAGC